GTCCATTGTCGCGAAAACCTTGTTGCAGGGCCAAAAGGTCGTTGTTGTTAGATGTGAGCAGATCAACATATCTGGCTCATTCTACAGGAACAAATGTAAATTGGCTTTTTGAAGTAACCTCCCCTTAGTGAAGTACCAAGAGTTTTTGCGCAAGCGTATGAACACCAACCCGTCCCACGGACCTTACCATTACCGCTCACCATCGAAGATATTCTGGCGCACTGTGCGCGGAATGCTGCCACACAAGATGTATCGCGGCAAGGAAGCTCTCAGCAAGCTTCACGTTTATGAGGGTATTCCTCCTCCTTATGACAAGAAAAAGCGTGTCGTGGTCCCTTCTGCCCTACGAGTCCTCCGCCTTAAGCAGCGAAGGAAGGTGAGTGATTTCACTTGTTCGTGATTTCTTTAGTTCTGTGTCCTTTCTCGTCTCTCCCACGAAGTTGGCTGGAAGTACCAGAACGTGATTGAGAAAATGGAGGGCCGACGGAAGGCTAAGGCCGATGTATGGTATAAGAAGAAGAAGGTGGACGCCGTCCCAGATCAGGCTGCTCGTGGACAGGCCAAGGCTGCTATTGCCCCCTACAAGGCCATCCTGAAGAAGTATGGTTATTAGCCTCCTTGGAATAAATTTGGCATATATTTTTTTCTTTATCTACAATCTCGCCACCAAGGTCGTTGCATCTGCTTGCCATTCTGGCCAGTGCAGCCCTTTATATTTGAGGCGTCTTATTCTCTACTTCAGCAGATTTCATATTGGAATTTTCCTGCAACAGGACGGTCGCCCGTTGTGCTGAGTGAAACAAACAGTAGATAAACTGCACCGAAGCGCGCGCTGGCTCTGTCGACTGAGCTGCGCATGGTCATCTACGCGTTTGAGGTTCCTACGCCGAATCAATTTGTAGTTGGTCTCTTCGTGCCGTCAACAACCTGGGTCGTTCATCCCTTTACCACTTCGTCAGACCGGACTGAGCAATCGAGAGTATTCATAGTTTTTGAGAAGTCATTGGTTCCCGTTGAACCGTAAACCTGGAGAAATTAAGCGATGCCGAAGTCGGATATGCCCGTTGCTGCCGTTGCAGTTTTCATGTTGCGTTGTTTGGTTTGCAGTTCTTGCTTATCTTTTATCGGCTGCTAAGATGTATACGCAATTGCTGACTTACACTAGCATGTAGAAATCGAACCTTGGCGATTGCATCTACACTTAAACCAAACGTCATGTAGATAGTTGTTGTCAGGTTGTTTGCGTTCGCCTTTTCAAAGGCGATCAATTCCTTATGCATGTCTGCCTTCTCTAAACCCACCGCATACGTAGATGGAGCGCTGCGTACACTAATCGATTTGCTTTCTGAATAAAAGTTAATGGCCACGGAATCTAGGTTTGACAGCTGTATCCGAGCTGGACGAGCTTCTCGTACCACTTACCGACACGTTAGTCCTGCGTAGACGCGCTTCTGATAATTTGTTTTAAGGTGATTGACGTAACCTAACATCTTAAACCCTGCCTAAGTAGATTTTCGCATAATAGCCCCCTTTGTTATCTTCTAATTGCTTTTTTAACTCTGAAGCGCAGACCTAGTGGTAAAATTAAATGCTAATTTATGAAAATTATAAAGGACGTACTAATGTATTTTGTCCCGTGTAGGACGATTGCAAATGGAGTTTATCTGAGAACCATCTGCAGGGTAAAGATGATCGCATTTGTAGGTGTACGGATGGTTGCAGGAGACAGAGATCTCTTCATGACGAACGCACACTGCTACGTCTAAAGTCTAACCGGGTAAGATGCAGAGAAAGAGGACTCGAATCAATCGTGCGCAACTGATCTTCAAAGCCCTGCAATCCTCTCGAAAAAATGTAAGTGTGGACACGAAGAATGTTTGCTTTGGGTGCATTTGAATACTGTCTGCGTGACTGATATACGTACCCCATTCGCCTGCCAATTGTCTGCAACCGCCGACTAGGAAGGATGATTCACTATACAGTGGAACTGCAACTGACTGAACAAGTCATGAAGTGCCGTCAGGAACATAGTTACTTGAAGTGTAGCAACATGTCGGGAGTGAGTTCTTATATCGTCGTCTTTCTCGTCTTGGGGATGTTGACTCGTCGGCTGTAAAAC